CGTCTTCATCCATAGCGGTGGGATCAGCTTGAGGGGCTTCCTCCATTTGGACATCGCCATTTGTATGCGGTTGAGCTTCGGCTTCTTGTAATCTTTCTTCACGCTTTTCTGCCGCAGCTCTAGCAGCTGCTGCCGCCTCTTCTTCCGTACCAGCAGCTTCCAAATCAACATCATCGTCATCATCTTGTTCCTCAACACCGTTAGCGAGCGCAGCATCATCTTCCTCGGAGTTTGCCATTGGTAGGGTTGGTAGCTTTTCTAATTTCTTTCTTGACCCTTCATCTTCATCAAAATCCAAGGCACGTTTCTGAGATGTCTTTTCATTGTCGGTAACTTTTGCTCCAAGTCCAAAAACACTGAGGTTTCCCCTTGTCTTAGGTAACGCAGATACTTTAATCAAACCAATTAGCTAGATCATTATGTAAGAGTATTATTTTTGCTTACCTTTTGAGGTGCTGCTGAAAGCTGTTGGCTTTTTGTCAGCTTGTAATCCTTTGACCGTAGAAGTTAAGGTGGCGGACGCTTTTGACAATTCCTTTAATGGTAAATCTTTCCCAAGAGTAGTTGCACTACTCGAGCTAGCCACTGCCTTTTTAGCTATTGCCTTCGGATCAAATTTCCCAGCATAATTCGTTGGAGGTGCGAGGTCGCCTGGTGTCGCAGGAGTTGCTGGAGTTGCTGGAGAGTGTGGCGAGGTTAGGGATGGAGATCCGTTGGCCTTTTGATCTATAGCGTCAAGTAACTTTCGAGTCCCACCCGCTGCCAACTCTTTCTCCTTACGCTCTTTGTCTTCGGCCATCTTCTTCTTCCATGCTTCCAACTTTGCTAGACGTTCTGCTTTTTTCTGTTCCTCGGTTTGCACTGCGGGTGTTGATGCTTTCGGAGCCTGAGACATTAGATGAGTAATTGAACTTTTGTGATAGAGATCAGAGTAACTCACATCATTAACTTTAGTATTGGCATCTGATCTGGGAGTCTGTCCGCGGTTTTCGTCTCCTCTGCTACGGGACCATGAGTCAGTAGAATCCTCGCGGCGTCTTCGAGCCCTATCATCATAAGAATCGTCTCGCCTGTCACGGTAATCTCGTTCCCGACTTCTACGTCGTCTCCTATCCGGTGATCGTTCCCTATCGGCATAGCTTCTGCGATCTCGAGATCTATCACGGCGACCTGATCTATGGTAGTCATCATTTAATCTCCCTACTGAACGATCTCTTCTACGAGTCATATCTCGATCACGTTCGCGACGCTGATGTTCGTTAGTATCTTGTGACTGAGGCGCGGGTCTAGAGGTAAGAATTCTCACGTCAGGACTTCGAGAACGCCTCTGTCCTCTAACATCATCTCTTCTATCTCGATCGCGTCGGCCATTATCATCCCTTCGGCTTCGTCTCGATGAGTGGTGGCTTCCTGTTGGCGATGGTGAGCGAGAATCCCTGTGCCGAGCCATTCTTTGCCCAAGTAATGTATGGTATTTCGATGGGAAGAAATACTTTTAGGCAACGATGAAATGGTAGGAAATGGATTAATTCCGTCCAAGTTTCAGTCTATAACTTCAGACTGAATAGACCAAGAAGACTTGAAGTTTATAATACTTGACGTTTATTTATTGTAGAATGGTCGTGATTACTTTTTCCACGAATCTACTCCGTATTTGATGTCGTTAACAATCTGCCCTTGCCAAAAGATATTTAAGGATACTTTGGTCTGTTCAGTCTGCCGTACCCTTGACGCGCACGGGCTTTCGAAGCTTTACGGGCCCTAGCGTGTTTAGACGAATAGAGGGAAGGAGCTGGATGACTTCAATCGCAATATTTCGTTCATACCGTTATCATCAGAATCTCTACTCCGTCCACTCCAATTACCTCACTCGTGAGACATCTGGTCACTGTTTAAGTCATCATGTTGTCCAACGTTGGTCGCGCAGCTATTAAAAGAATCGGCGGATCTAATTTATCAACGAATCGACTTCTTGCTACCGTTTGCCAGTTACAACGCGTTGAAGGTCAACACAACGTCGAATCTACCTTGAAAGCTTCCTCAACTACTTTCTCGTCGCGCCGATTGTATGCTACTGCGACAAAAGCTACCCAAACCAAAACTGTCATAGAAAAGAAGCCGGTTGCGAAAAAGGCGCCTGCGAAGAAATCTACCACTGCTGCTAAGCCTGCCGTCAAAAAGTCTACCAAGACGACCGCCAAAAAAACTGCGAAGCCAGTTAAGAAGCCAGTGAAGAAGCCAGCAAAGAAAACAGTTGCGAAGAAGCCAGGACCAAAGCCCAAGAAGCAATTGACCGACTCACAAAAGTTAAAATTGAAGTTGAAGGAATTAAAGGCTATTGCGTTCCTTAAAGAAGCCCCAAAACAAATTCCAGATACTGCCTATAGCGTATTGTTTATAGAATTGGTTAAGAAAGGAACTCCAGTCATTGATGCGGCCAAGGAAGCATCAGAGAAATACAAATCGTCATCGACAGCAGAATTAGAGGTAAATAATTTATATTTTCTTTTGATAAAGCCATGCTAATTATATTACAGCGACTTGAACAGATTGCGAAGGAGAACAAGGCTGTCAACTCACGCAACTATAAAAACTGGGTTGAGAGTCATACTCCAGCGGAGATTCGCACGGCGAATTATGCACGTCATCACATTCGAAGATTGACCAACAGATCTGCTAGCCCGAGAATCATTAAAGATGATCGACTGGTAAAGAATGTTACCTCGTCTTTGTTCTTATTCATGAGAGAGAGATATTCATCAGGCGATTTTGCTAATCTCAGTATTGCTGAGTCTTCAAAGAAGATTGCACAAGAATACAAGTCTTTGTCGCCTGAGCAACGCAAGGTAAGCTACAATATTCATCTCCAATCATTCAACATCCCCCTAACACGTCAATAGCCTTTTGAGGATGCTGCTGTAGCAGATCAAGAGAGATACGTTCAAGAGTACAGAACAGTTTACGGAGAGGAACCCAAGGTTGCTCTCAAGGCTCAAGCTAAAGCATAGATACCCTCTAGTTTTTCAGCCTCGAATTTCTCTCTCGCTTTGACTTACATTCTTGACAATTCAGCCATCGTTTAAACCATCCGCCATGACACTGTTATTTGCAAAAGCTTGCGTCATGAATATGGAGTCAATACTATCTTGTACCAAATATGAATGCGAAATTTGAGGTGTTCATGCTTAAGAATGATTTTTGTCCCTAGTTTCATTGTTTTTGTCTGCAGATATCCCCTGCTTTGAACGCTAGTGATGACAAAAAGAACTATGATTTTACGACTCCAAGGGTGTTAATTGGGAGGATGGCGAGTTCATGATGAGGATCAGATACCCATTTCAATTTAGGGTTCTTCTACTTAATGATTATTAGTATGTTTCACGAATAACACTTGAATGAAAATTATATCCATGCAAACAAATATTCCACTTCGTTTCTTCCCTACAAGAGTCCAGCAGACCCACTTACCCCTCCATATTCAGCCTCAGACCCTCATCCCACTCATCTCATTGCATCACCCCCGCATTCTAAGCGAAAAATGGAGCTCTCATGCATGAGTCCCTTGCATCTTCTGGCTTTACTTTGCGATATCTTCCTCTACGCTTTTACCTTTACCTCTTGAGAACTACACCTTGTTCAAGTTAGGATTTCAATTCCTCTTCCACTACCATTATCGTGTCATCCATCTTCTTCCTCCGAATCCTCGTCACCATATTAGCATCTCGTAAACATTCCTCGCTTGATCACTGCCAAGTCCTCGTCGAATCATCATGCTTGACTGTAATATACCGTATTACCTTGACTCATCTTACAGTTCATTTCATCACCTCTTCCTTTTCGTTCTAATAACTAACAGTCCTGAACTAATACCCACTACTGCGAGTAGTTTGGGAATACACTCCCACTTGATGACAATACACCGATGAATCTATAACTCATCCCCACGAATCATCAATCTCATCTTACTCCTCTGAACCAAACCAAATTAGGGCCAGTATCAAAAATTAACTTTGCCCATATTGATTTGAAAATATCCACATAGGTAGTCATGCTATCAACAACTTTTCTTACATGCGAATCCGAACAGGCCCAAATATTTCTCGTATTTTCCCCAATGATTCATTCTTCGATTTATCTTTATATCATTCACTCACGTCACCCATACCCTCGCTCTATCCTCAGAATAAAAAGCATAACCATTGCCACAAACTAGTACCCATACCCATTCATACACATACACATACACAATATCCAGAGCAAAATTTCCCCTTTTACATCTCTTCTCTCTCTTCCTCCTCTTTCCCATATCTCCCTCTTTTCTGCTCGGAATCATCTTCATCTCTGCCTCTCCAAATACATCTAAATCTCGCAATATAAACCCTTCCTCTCGTTTCCTCTCATCTCCTTACCCTTGCCATCTATTCCCCATTGCTCTCTCGGAGTCCTAAACAATAAATCTCCGAACCTCCTGTGTAATTAGCAACAAATAATCAACAATGAAAGCAATCCTAGGGTGCTCCTGCATACTGCTCAACAAGTCTCCATCTCTTCATCTCCACTTGCTTCCCTGGGCAAGCTAAACCAGACTTCCACTCCATCACATCAAAGAAAATAGATCAACCCTCTTTTCAACAGGAAAAAATAGAGTATAATTTATAAAACCTCACAATATCCCCTCATTCAAACACTAATCGTTAAAATATCACACTTTTTATTATTATATTTCCCTTTTGAAGGCAATCCTCGGTCCTACTATAGAACTAGAACCAGTATGTATCCAATGGTTTCTAAGACTCCCAAACTCCGCCACCAGTTTTCCCCAGAGCGCATGTATACGCATATATTATATCTTCCACATCCATAGCATCCATCTCTATTGAATCCCCAGGATTGCCACACCGCACCACATATATCCAATCACCATCAAATCCAACAACACCTTTCGAACAAAAACAGACCATCTTCATTCTAAGATCTAATTTGTATCCTCCATCTATTACTTAAATACCATTACTAGCACAAGTAAACGCACCCCCGAATGATCCAGCATTATACCCATCCACAATACTCTGAACACTCGTATAAGTTCCTGCTGTCAAAAACAATAACCCAATCAATATAATCAATATATTGAAACTCAATCCAAGCTTACTCGTCTTGCTGATCCATCCCGCTCCATGATCTACACGTCTCATTCTAATATATGCTACACCCCAGAAAATAAAACCAAAAAAGGAATCGAAGAGGGAGGACATCAAAGATAGAAGATCGGAGAAGAACGGAATAACTTCGGCGATAATGAAGGCACCAACCCAAGTTGCAGCCAAGATGGCAATCCAGACTACCCAGCCTTTCATGGTATTTTCATGAAGATGTCTCTTGTTGTTATGGAAGACACGGTTGATAAGGAAGCGGCCAGAGACGGAAGCATAGAGAACTCCGAGGAAAATGAGCGTTGGAATCATGAAAGAAAAGGAAATATCGACGTATAACTTCTTTCCTAAAGATCCAAAGGCTGGAGCTGACATGTATTGGTTTCCAGTAAAAGCGTAAATAATTGAACCGACCAAACTGAAAACAATGACTTCGGCAATGGTAACAGCCCAAAGAGCTTTGGGGAAATCGGCGGGGTTTTTCATCTCGGCCATGAAGGAGGGGATGGTAATTTGACCAATGAATGTGTAGGAGATGTTGAGGAAGGCATTGAAACCATTTACAAATGTTGTACCCTTAAGCATTACTGCAGTAACGGTAGGGGCACCTCCAGCAAGACCAGTGGCTGCGATGATGGAGTTAGGATCGGGGTTGTAGCCGAGAGGATGAGGTTCGATTCCGGCAAAAATGGTAGCGAGCATAACGGAGATGAAGGTGAAAATTGCGGATAATGTGGCCAACCATGATAGAGCGCTGAAGGTTCTTGGAACGGAACAAACCCAACAGATTACAGCTGCAACAACGGCAAATACTACTGTACATTGACTGTGATTGGTGATAGTATTCAAGTATTTTGCAGTAGTCAAAACATGAAGACCCTGATTATATTAGAAATTGTAAGAGAGTGGGTTTGATGATTCTTACCTGAATAAAGGTATTATTCAAAAGAAACATGATAGCAGTAGCATGCCATGCCCATCTTCCACCAAAAAGCATCTGTCCAACATCACAAACATCTCTAAGTTCCGGATGACGCATACAGAATTCCCATAAAACGAGGGATGTATAGAGGACCAAGAATGCGACAACCGCAGTCAAAATGAGACCTGGTACAAGTCCTAAAACCGAGTAAGACCATGGGAAGGACATAATTGCTAAACAGATATATTCTGAGAAAAGAAGAGCCGCAGTCTATTACGGGTTAGCATTTATATGGAGAATGGAACCAAAAATATTGTGTTACCTTTTGCCAGCTGCAACTACGATATTTGATGGCAGAACCTGCTTCGGCTTCAATCTGCTGGCTCAAAAGGTCCTTTCCACTGTCACCGCTGAGACTTGATGCATCGGCATCTAGACGAAGATGTGGCAAAACTGGACCAATTCTGGGACCAATGGTTACGGGACCAAATCCCCATGTACTGCGCCAACTGACTTTTTTGTATTCCGTGGAAGGAGCTTGATCTTCGCTAATATATTCTGCTCTAGATTTATCGTTGACATCGTTATTTGAATTGTTTCCTGAAGACATGACTGGGGATTCTTTATTTATCGCCATTTTCTCGATGGGAAACTAGTTGATGAAGTCAGAACCATATTCCTATAAACTTATAACAGAAAATCCATAAACAAAGAAGGGCTGATGGCGCAATAGTTGTACACTTTCGCGAGTGTGTATTACGCCATGATGAGGAATGAGTACTTACTGAACTATTGGAGAATAGTGAATTGGGTGAAGTGTAATAATCCGCGCAAACCACATTAATGGCGGTATTGATTGATCTTGATTGAAGTGATCAGATTGAGGAGTACAGCAGCGAAGTGCTATCTCTTGTATATGGATTGTTGAGGATTTGAAGTTCTTGGATGTGTGAGATGTATAAGAGATGAATGGAAATCATATGATGAATAAGAAAAGGGAAAATGGATTGATTACTCTTTCGAATCCTCCACATCAATGTGCGAAAAACTAAGAAGATGGTTCCTGATAGCTCGAGGCTAGAGGGGAGTTTTCTACTTAGATAAAGGCTTATCGAACTACAAGCATCCCCAGAAGACACTAATTTAGTGTACAGCGAAAAGACATACCTGATAGTTCAAGGTATCCACATAATCTTGAAATGGGATGAAGGGGGATTGGATGAAGGGAAGAGTGAAATTTAATATCTGACTTGCATACTAATCCTTCCATTTGTTCCTTGTTATGAGTTGAGATGGGTGGAGATGTTGTACGAATGGTTTTCTTAGTACTGTATCTTTAAATTGAAACAATTCTGACTCTCCGTAGTTATTGACATCTGCGAGTCATTAGAATCATGTTCGTTCAAACATCAGGGTCTCGTTTGTTCAACAATGCTTTCTATTGGCATAGGGTTTCAAAGATATCCAGCAGCTAGCTTCATTGTAGAGGAGCAGTTCAGATTCACATGGAGTTCATATGGAGTTCATATACCGCACGGTGCAATGCGGCACGATATGCGATACGATGTCAATTATCAGTGCCCATTGCCCATTCCTCATTGCCCCGCATCAGCCTCCAAAATAAAAAATGAGATAAGCTCCGATGACTTTCCTAGGCATATCTGGAACTATCACCTCCCGCGCAAGTAAGAGATACTGGGCAATTCTTATACCACACTTCCAAGAATCCCTCATGCAATATTGTCAGCCTTTTCTTTTTTATTCACCATACTTGGTATCTCAACTTGGTATCTCTAACAAATCCTCGTCAAGACCCTAGAATACATAGACGGGGAACAATATGCAAAGCCCCCCATCTTTCCAGAGTAATCCCAACAAGTCAATCAATCATATTATAATTGTAATTGTAAAACCCGGCTCGGATCAAAACCCTGGTTGGCCGATGACTTATGAGGCAAGAGGGAAAGAAGGAAGAGAGCGTGATGGATGATCCACTCTATAGAAATGTCGAGATAAAGTGTGGCTATTTCGTCATCGTTTCACGTGATTTACGCCTCCTTTCTACATTAAGCTTAGCAATATCGGTGGCTCCGAACACCGTGGTGAAATTTTGTTCGCCTCCACTCCATTCGGTCTTCACAACGGGGGGCGGGCAAAACTATGGATTTGCCATTCGGAATGCACCAATTGTTGAGATTCTGATAATGGACACAGTATGTTGAAAGCAAGAACTGATTAATTGGAGGATTGAAGGCAACGGGCAGTTGAGAAGTCCTTGTCTAGCGCTTTCATATTCTAGCCACCGGTGCCAGACATACTTTGTGGCAGATTATTTTGCAAATCATTCCGGATAGATACAGCAGTGCAGTATACTGAGCTTTCAGTAGTCAATCTGTCCATTCATCCGAGCCATCCTCACTAATACACCTTCCGCTCTTTCTTTTGCTATTCCTCAATACCACTTGATATTGCTATATTACTCGGATTTTTTGCCGCCAGCTAGTCCTCCCAGAAGTTTATTCCATTGCTCAAGCAAGCGTTCAAATGTTTTATAGCACCTAGGTCAATCTCATACAGTCAAAAGCACCGTATGAAAGTTCATTTGAACCATTCTTTTGGCTATTTGGAGTTCTGCATGACCAAAGGTTCGGGATTCATCAATCGTGACTACCAAATATCCTATCAATCATCTAGCGAGGAATGTGGAATCGATTAGGCGCACCTCAAGTGAGGCTATGCCGCTACGATTGCGAGGTTGGTATTACTACTCGCCTTCGACAAGTATCGCAATATATTTTCCGATACAATAACGCGCTCTCAGGATCATTTGTGGAAATTGATCAATTCAAAGAACAATAGATGGCGGTCTTTTGTTGGTTGTTGTTATTTTGGGTGCTCATTCCTTCTATCCCAGAAGAATTCCAGTCCTCCATGTGATCAAATTTATTTGCGAGCCTCAGGATTTCAATACCATTATTTTGACAGTGCCGGCGCATCATCGCTTAACCAATATAACCTCAACTGCTAGCATTTCTCTCGTCAAATGGTGGTATTGACAAATCGACAATCTAGCTTCACGGTTAGACACAACAATTCGAGGTGCGCGCGGTATCTTTGTAGGGAGTATTCGATCCCTTCGGAGTCATTGATACCGCTTAAAAGGTCAACAGAGATTAGCGCGCCACCGGGCGCGTGAACTCTTTTGCTATTTTATTCCTTGAGCATATTTTTTTCCTCGACAAATAGTGGAGTTGTCTGCGTGGGCGGAGAGAGGTAGGAAGTATTAATTTTTGGCCAGGAGATTCACTCTCCTCGATGAATTCGAAAGCCCCACTCTAGAAATCGAGATGGTGGGCTAGCCGACCGCCTTTCAGTTTGACACAATGCGCAAAATGCAAATTAAGATATGTAGTTGGCAAGAAGATCACAGAATCGCCTTTCGCATGAAGATTAGATTGAAAGGGAGATCGTTAAAAGCCGCAAATTCTTCATAAGCCATGTTTGAAGGTCAAGTGTGTAATCCATTATTGTAATGATAGAGCCCATGTAACAGTGCGACAACGAACTATCCGGATAGACAACTATAACACAATTGATGCGTGATGTTTTGAGATTGTTACTTTTGGGTGGATGATTAAACTGGTTTGAAACTTCTTAGATTCAAGGATGGAATTGTAAAATTATGCAAACTAGTGTCAAGCAATAGAACCGAAATTTCGTAGCACGCGTAACCTCAGTGAACATGAATGGATTACGTTCTTCATCGTAAATAACAATGCGGTCTCATTCGTATTCGCTGCTGTTCTTTTTCCTTTAGGTGACATGTTTTCTTTGTGTCTTCACACCACGATTTTCGCAATGGAAATATCGTCAAATTTCAGATGTAAAGAGATCATTTAGTTGCTTTATAATTTCTATCTACAATGATGATGAGTGATGTGATTATCTACCATGTTACCATATTGTTGTTGTTATCTTGAAGACTATTATTCCTAATGTGCGCACTACGTGTATGTGTATGTCCTAATGAAGTACTATCTTTTGGTTGATAGATGCTCTTGGCAAAGTCAATCCTGTGTAGCTTCGATCCCTTCTGTGTTCTGATATTGGGGTAAAGCGAGATCTAGAGCGAGGGGGTAGGAAAGATAGAGCGAGGAGAGAAGATAAAAGATGAGGTTAAAAAAAAAGGAGAGGGAATGAGTACTTAGATTTTATTTAAGAAACTTATTCATAAAAACTTATACCAAAGACTTATCCAAAGTTTTTATCTATAAAAAATTGAATTTGAAACATAAATAAAGACTATTCTCTGAGAGTCTATAGATTTAGTTTTAATCAATTACTTCAAATTGAGCAGAGAAGGGATATATTCACTTATAACTTTCTAATAGTCTAGAGTGTGCGTAGATTACAACATATACTCAAAAACAACAATGGAATTTATTACCAGCAATGTCAGCAAAAAGTCTCATATTCGGCGATGAGAGCAATGATAGGGTTTCTTCGTCCCCTTCGATTTCGTAAGAATCTCTTTCAAACAAAAGAGGAGCAACTCCTAATACAGGATTCCGCAAACTCACTTCCATTACCGTTGTCTCTTCGTCCGTGCAAGTTAGTAGGTCTAATCAACTCTGAGATCATGGATTAATACACCTCTTATAGTTTCCTAGACATCAACTTGTTCCAGGTAGTAAGTGAAAGAGACATCGCACCTCCACTCCCTTCTCAATCACCACTTATCAAATCCATCCAGATATAAAACACCGCATCTTCGCCCCCAAAAATTTCTTTCCTTCCTTAGATAATATGGTTAAGACACACAGGAACGATCGAATGGTGGAAGATTTCAATTTCCGCCACAAACCAACACAAGCTCGTTCCTGTGATTACTGTGCTGAGAAGCTAGGGGATTGAGAATATATCTTTGTTGTTTTTGCAAGTAGAAGTGTTAAGAGATCATGACAATCAAGTTGGGAATAAACGACGATAGGAAATTCCAATGAGAATAATAAGAGTAAATGAGAAGTGATGGTGTTGATTCCGTCCTGGCTTTCTTACAAACGGATGTCAAGAAAAAAGCAGATGGGTAAAAGACACACCAGATTTGAAATCTCGGGGATTATATAAGATTCCTACCTAAGTTCTTGAGCATGAGTTGGGCAGTATAATGTTCTTAATGCACATGAGAGGAGATATGTGATATTCATAGTGGATTTATATCACAGAAGAGAAAGAAACAATGGGGGCTTCGGGGCGGTAGAAGATACATCAAATTGCCCCTCTCGTTTTATCCCCCCCTCCCCAGGTTTAGAACATCACGATCACCAAGATGTATAGAAAGCCAACTTCCAATATCTCGCCAGCTGAGTAGTGAGTGAAGGACAGTTAAGAATCTGAATATTGTTCATCTTCGAGCATTGCAGATCTCGTCTCTTATGCGAGTATTATTCCCCAGATAGCTGCAACGAAAGGATAGATTCACATCGGCGAGCCTGTGATTATTTTAGAGATATAATGAAATAATTAAATAATATGACGATCATAAGAATACTGACAACAATGATAGTAGATCAATGATAGTTACTAAGAACACCAATGATTCAAACCTTAACACAACGATAGAAAATCACAATCACTGCCAACCAGTATCAACCAATATATATTCATCCATCTTCCATTACCTTTCCCTAGGTTTCTCTCTCCATCACCCACCCGACCGAATCCACCAAAACACAAGAGGGTAATCCTTCATACCATTCTAATACATACCATTTAATCACAGCCCCATCTCCTTCTCCGAAATTTATTCCGCCAAATACAATACTAATGCAAAAGAATGATATCCGATGATCCAAGAATTTATTTATACATTTCCTCTCGAAATCTCGCGTATATTTTAGATTGATCATACAATCAACTCCATCACGCACCACCTCCCCAGGCCCCATCCTCAAACCCCCCAAATCGAGAAATGATTCCTCCAGCACCAACATAAACCAACCCTCCCACTTTCCCAAAAGACAACAGCGGTGATACATCAGCCTCCACTGACCTCGTATTCTTGCCCGTACTCTCGCGCGTCTTTCAAAGACTCCCCAAATTTTCCACACCCAGTTGTTGCTTAAATACATAGGTATTAGATGTATATCCTCGAACTCGTCCTACTCAAAACCAGCACAATGTATAGGACTAAGTAAGAACAAGAAGCAAAAATAATAACCAAAAAATATCATCATTACTTAACAATAAACAACAAAACTTCTTTCTGTATTGACTCCCCCAAGATGGAAGTTCCATTCATAATCAAAGTATCAAAGTAAACCCACCCCAGAAAACACTCCTCTACTTCCCAATTCCAATTACCATCTCCAGACCTGACACCCTCTGTAGATCTACTAAGTTTGGCAATACAGATTAGATCTCCGAAGAAGAAGAGGGTCTTTATACAACAAATAACATTAACAACCGTTCATCCCAAGCTCACTCCCAACTTTTGCGGATCACAGCTCATCTCATCATCCTACTTACAAGCTCTCCATGTAAGCGCACTATTAAATGCGCCCCCTAGGATTTCTCTACTACCACATCAAACGTAGCTACTGTGTGCTAACCAAGGGATTAGGGAAAGTGCAATCCGAGAAATATCACGGAGGGGTATAGGTGGATGGATGTAGATATAGAGCGATAGATAGGTTTCTGTGGATGTGATTTCGAGTTGGGGAGGGGAAAGGAGAGGAGAGGAGAGGAGAGGAGAGGAGAGGAGAGGAGAGGAGAGGAGAGAAGAGGAGAGGAGGGGAGGGGAGGTGTGGTGTTAACACAATGCAAAGAATGCGAAATGGATAAGTGAAGAATAAAGAAGTAAAAGATAATCATATTAATTCTCCTACACATTAACCCCCCCAAATATATTCAACAGGCAAAATAACAATAACAATAACAATAACAATAACAATAACTCAACTCGACTCGAAGAAAATGCTGATTATTTTGATTTTTTATATTCAAAATTATCTAAACCCAACCGTATATCTTGTCTTTAGATACTTACTCATTACTTACACATGAGCAGCACAGCATAGTATACCAAACTCGACACTTGATCGAGTATATCAAATTTCTATGATATGTTGATCATAGAATCTATGGGTTTGGAGTAGAGAGCCGATATTATGTACTCATTCGAATATATACCATAGTATATATACATTTCTGAGAATAATCGAAGATGGGGATAAAATAACGAGTTGTGCGATGGTAGGTAAGGATGATGAAGTATACGATGACCAACCTCGTAGAGGAATAACGATGAAGATGAAGAGTTTCTTTCTCTTCGGGTTAATCTTGATGTTTGTATATGTCTGTTTTGAAGGAGTAGGATTTAATTTTCCCTTCCCCTTTCTCTACAAGAAATAAGTGCACTCAACTCACAAATCTCTACCAATCATCAAATACCACTCCAGCTCTAAATAAAGATGAAAATCTAGATTCTCAACAAAACAAAACAAAACAAAACCCATCCCATCAAATACAAAACACATCACAAACTCAAAACCGCAATGCAGAGTTATTGAAGAAGGCCAGGCCCTCAAAATCCTCGATCCAGCCTCCAATCCCATCCGAGCCTCGCTAATCTCGCCTCTCAAACAACCCCCCCTTCATTCCTTCCAGCCCCGCCATTCTGTCCAACTCACCACTGTATTTTATTTTATTCTACTCGTCACAAATTTTAGTTCGCGCAGTCTGCGCAATTGAGCGAAAATGAATGATTCATTTAGACGGGCTTCTCTCCGAAAAATAGATACTCTGTCAACTTCGCCTCTAGCCACAAAGCCACATCACAAAAGTCCTGCAATGCAATTCTGGAACAGCTGTCTAGGTAGGTGGGGCAAAACAACCCCAGATTTTTTCATACATCGTCATGCAGCAAGGTAAACTAGAAATGGACAATGTGAGTCCTAAATGGGAATGGAGGATTGGAGTTGAAGGAATCGATTGCACTAGTTTTTTTGTTCTTCTTCGAAAATGGGAGAATGAGTTTTTCTCACCACCCATATCGCATCTTATGCAGTATGATTTTTCTCAACAACTTTTTCTCCTTCTATCAGATGCGAATTTGATCAGAATGTGACCCTTCAATTCTAAATTCGCATCAGGAATTTTCAATATTCGGTATCCTCAATGCAACCTATCGGCTCGGCAATCAAACATATCCCAAAGCCCGTAACCGAACCAGGAGGGGTTGCATTTGCAGAACGCATGAGCCTTGCGGTTATGCACATGAAATGATGGATTTTTGTTACTAAGATTGTGTGTATATACATGTATATGCAATTTGAAAGCTGAAGGAAAGTAAGATCATATCATGCATGAAACTTTCTTTCAGGAAGGAGAGTAAACCGATAACTTCCATCATAAAATTTTCCCCTCCAAAGGAAAAAAAAAACCACAGACTCGACGCAATATCGCATGATAAAAAAAGCTCAGATTCCCATGTGCACACCGTTAATGTGGAGGTTGAGCCTTGTCCATCCTGCATCACACCAGCCAGCGCGCAACCCCAACACCAAACCAGCAGCAAAGAAAAATCAGAGCTTCGCGAGCTTACCGCGCCTTACCGCTCTTTGCCCACTTACTGTTTTGAGATGGTTACAGGCTTTTTGATAGGATTTCGACAGGGCTAGCTGGAGCGTACAGGGCTAGCTATACACTTGTACAGGCCCAGTTACAGGCTGACAGGGCTAGAAAGAGCAGAAAGTGATCCACGCCTCATGGTTACATTTTACCGGTACACTTACTGGCTTTTACTTTGTCTAATTTTTTTCTTTCTCCAAACGATGAACTGATATTTCCCCTCCTTTTGGATTTCTCATTATGCAATTCGATGTCTGCGCGAAGTCCAAGAATGAAGAGATGCGTAGGTAAGAGTTAAATGTGGAATGCAGAGAAGATGTAAAAGACGTTACCGTATCTGAATCATGCTGCAGAACAGTGAATCGTAACTGCAGATTTCGGATTTCTTTCGTATATCGTACAGAAGCTGGTATGCCAGTGTCGAATAGGAAAAAACGAAAGGGGATTGTACAACGAGTGGTGCGTGGGTAGATGCATGTATCGTACATCACAGCCGTACTTTGTGTACTTATTCAGTGGTGGATCTGGGTAAGTAGTGAGTACGAAAGTATACGGATTAGGAGAATAAAATGTGATGAAAACACAGATACAAGCAGATATGGTCACAGTACAAACTGTACATACTATACATTGTTGGAAGAAAGTTTCAAGAAGACAAGATTCAGCCCCCAATATATTCTGCCCCCAAATATCTTAAGCGGTGAAGACAGCATGATTGTGAATAATGATTGGTTCAAAAGAAGAACATGTCGTAAGCGTTAAAAGAATAAATTGAATAAATGCTGGCATGCATATATGATGCAGTAATGCAAGAAATATGCAATATATATTATATTATGCATGCATCAATTCTCCAGTGCATACTTCCCATGGTACTTTTCCCTTGTGAAATCCTTGGGTGTGGGTTCAGATTGGGTTGTCAGATTGATATTGGATTTCTATTTGCTGATAGTGAAGACTGGAGAATGCTTGAAAACTTAAAACCGATTCAGGGGGATGATTTACTGCCTTAACAGAAATGATTATCGGCGGAGGATTGAAGACCGTTTTTTTCTTTCTTTTTTGCTGAAAGTGTGATGTGATGTCGAGGATGTGTGACCTGTCAACAATGCAATCATAGCAAAGATGGGGAGATGATCGATGGGACGGGGATGAGGATAAATGTTGATCTGTGAGATATAGATGGGAATGATGTAGATGATGAGATCAGAGCCCCCTCCCCCTCTAAAAAGCTTGGGATTCAAGAAGATAATGATGGAGAGCTCGGGTCGCGATGATGTAGATGAAAGCCATGGAATCCCTTCGATCCCCCAGATCCAGATCCAGGTTCAGGATTCCCGAGTAAAGAACTCCTAGTCAAAATGATACGATGATGGCCCGAAGGATTCCAATGAATTATCCTTCAAAAGATAAGATGCAACAGGATAAGATTTACTCGATAATCAAGACCATCAAATGTAGCCGCATGGTCATCCTCACATTCCCCATCAGCAATCAATCAACCAATCTGATGTACAATAGGAATGACGCGTAACAGGTCCGAACCAGTGGGAGAATAAACTTTGAGTCAGTTCACCAGGTTCGCGAATGAAAGATTAGATATCTTGTCTTTCCAACCATTCTGTTCTGTTCTCGCGGGGAAAGGCTACTAACTAATCAGTATACTTTCATGTTCCAGGAAGATGTCGAGATTAGATTGAGAAGACGATTGGATTGGATTGGATTGGACACTGGGCACTGGGCACTGGGCACTGAGCACTGAGCACTGAGCAGTAAGTGAATCAATCAGTCGTGATTTTCACTTTATGCCCAGAACGAGAAAATGCACAATGACAGCCTCGTCCAAGCGTAAGTTTTTTTTCTGCCAGCCGCCAAATCCCAATGTCTCTTGTATTGGTCGATCTTTCGAGAACGATATTGCAAAAAAAGAGGGTGGTGGTGGGTGGTATGTGGGGAATTATGCATGTAGAGCTGTGTCACTATACAGATTAATATGGTGCAGCTCGATCTATCTTGATTCTTGAATGTTTTCATAGACGATGAACGTTGATAGGTATGATTTTGCGAATGGACGATGTATAGTCTGATTGTTTGATGCAACTGTACATCTACTCGTCTGACACATTACTCGTGTTGGCCAATAAATGCCGAATCTTGATGATGGGCGGGAAGCGATGAATATGGATTTCGTATGGGATGGTAATCTCTTACTGACTGGCCAATTGGAACCAGGGGAGATTGAAAAGGCTGTCGTCTCATCCAAATCTGATGATTTTCTGGGAAAGGTAAATATACCGCCGTAATTATTCGAATTGGGAAACATCCGAGTCCAAACCGAGAAATGGATTCTTGTGAATAATAGATTGAATATAAGAGGATACTTGAGGACCCCGAAATTTGAATGTCAATAATTCATCCATTCAAGCTTATCCTTGAATGAAATCGAATCTCCTTTTCGATTCCTCTCATCCATCTTCCCTCGGAAAAATTCTAGAAGCCAAAGAAAATCAATGCTAGCTGCACCTCAAGACGGTATACTGGGATAATGTAGTACCGTAAGACCGCAGCACGCTGGAAAAAGTTGTGGACCATTCGGAAGCGTTCGTGATGAAACTAATCACAAGCTAAACCGAAATCGATGTTTGAAGATTTTTTGGGCAAAACATGTGGATGTTCATTGGTTTGTTTGAAGATGGTGGATTGAGAGTTGGAGAGTTTCAAGGTTGACGAGACGACGAGACGACCGGCTGACGAATGGTATGCAAGCAGCTTCGGGCTTTAAAAAGATACCTTGTCGTGAGCATGGATCTAGCTTTCAATTATGGAGCTTGACGTTATGGAAATATCATTTCTGGTATGTGGTAGCATGCACCTTTGTGCGAATCTTTTCAAGTGAGTCTCAGAGTGAAGTAATGATTTTTGGATGGTTTGATCGGACGTGTTTTGAATTTTCGAATACTTCATATGTGCATCGGTATCCAAATGGAAGTTTGGTACCATTTTAGATGGTCTAAATGAAACCATCCATCCGTTGCTTATGGCAACTCCTCTCTAGATGCAGTTCATACAAGTCAACAGAACCGAGGAGTCTAGATACTTCAATAGATAGCTCTGGAGCTACATCATAATCACCTCATCCCTTAGTGATGATCAAAAAAAGAAAGGTTCAATGTTTGTTGATACTGCACGGAGGTACCTCGTACTCAGATATCTAGGTAATACCGGTAATATTCATAACACTGACCTATACATATTAATAAAAAAAGACTTTGCTATTAGTCTTAAGTCTTAAGTCTTTGGTTTTTAGTCTTTAGTCTCTAGTCTTACTTAGTTTCGGTAAGAAGCCAAAGTGATCAACCTCTTTCGAAAGTTAAAAAGACCAGTCTCATTGAAGTTTGAACTTGCGGGGCAATTATTCAGACCCTCTTTTCTCTCTCAAGGAAAATCCCCTCTCTAGCCCCTCCAACATCATCTAAACTGACCACCTAGCCACGAGCCAAGTATCCATAAATAATATATAAGACTCGACAGAATCGACGCACTCGACAGATTCGACTGATGAGTCTATGGAGGCGGATGGAATTCGCGACTCATGTGGATTTGGCTTAACATTTCAACCACTCACACCTTCTCCTTCGCACTGTATTGAGGTTATTTCGAGAATTCCATTCACTCCACCAGACCCTGCATTGAAAAAATTCGGTAAGAAATTCGTTTAGTAAAGCGTCATCCTTGATGAATGATGGAACTTTTCGGCATATCTTGCTATCCCAGCTTTTCCCAACAGATGAAGTTGTCAACCATCTTGTCCTACCGGTGATTCCGTAATTGTACGAAATGTTGACACTTGAGATTTGTGGAATAAGGTAATTGAGTTTTGACCTTACTGAGAAGATTATCAGTTGTGATTGAAAGCCTCTCCTCTTTTGGGAGAGTTAGTCCTGAACTTAAATAATGAGATATCTCCAGAGTCCAAATACCTAGGTATCTATAAGATTCTAAATGTAGTTGAAAAGGGCACGTATTCACTCTTTGTCTGATGAATTAGCTTTGAATCTTGAAATATGATATCGATTTTGGCATCTCTGACCCCCTAGATTTCCCAGATTGGGAAGATAGTTGATAGTTTGGGATTTGATTCATTGAATGTCTACTCAGATACGAATTAAGTGTTACAAGCTAGGCTTATGTTAAACACGAAGATGGATGATCTCCAAACTTTCTACTTTGGGGCTACTTGAGTAGATTCTCTTGTCTAATCCATATCTAGGTAATGATGATATCTTCACCAGCGGGAAAGCGTCGGGGAAAGAACACTTGCGTCTCTCTCATGTGTTGTAGGGAATGCATAGTTTATCTCCCATCTATTCTAAGATTCAGAACAACTCATGCATAGATACTCGTACATCTATCTATTGATACATCCATTGACACATCCATTATATACATCCCTTATTCATCATAAATACCACTACCATTACCAGCAACAATCTTCCTATTTTGAAACAACCCTCGGACTTTTCCATTTATCCATTAGGGGAATATCATTATTGAATTTTGACCAGAAATCCCCGTTGGTTGTTGAAGTAACGACACACAAACCAAGTCGATTTCTTGTTATTCTATTTGAAGTTCTATAAGGAGAACTGCTTTCT